CTTGTACCCTTTTGCAGGTGGCCAGTTGCCCATACAGAAGGACCTTCAGAATATATGGTATATATGTCTAAGCCAACAATGTTGGAGAAGGGTTAACAGGGCATGGGATTTATATATATATATATATATATATATATATATATATATATATATATATGGTGGACTCTTCCATCATATTCAACGTATGAGGGTCAAGCAGCTCAGTTCCTAGGAACCGACAGCAGCCCAGACACCAGCACATATGATTTGATTATAGTGGTGAAGGCTTTCTGCAGAACCAACTACCCTTTTTGAAGGACTGAATACAGAGACCTGGTGCACTACATGCCACAAGGTCCCCAAACGACCCTCTGCAGGTTTGGAGTTCAAAGTTGCCCTTCTCCTAGACCAGTTTCCATCTAAGGCTATAGAACCCTGTCTGTCCTGCTATTTACCCATAGCTGGAGGGAGAAGAAGAGGACTAATACCTTTCCCAAGGGTATTAGCATGTAAGTGAATTGTTATGTTTGCCATTATAGCTTCATTGCAACAATTGATTGAAAGTGGATAGTAATTTAAGGTAAACTAATTAGAATTCTTAGAGCAGAATTGTCTCAGTTAAATGAGATATACTAAAAGCAACATGTGATTGTTGTAGCATGCAAGGTTTAATAAAATAAAAAAAATATTTCTTAAATCTCCTGAAAAGTATCATCTACTTATTATCTCTTTAATATCTCATTAACACTATTAGGGACAGATCAATCACCTAACTTTGCTTCTAAAAAGATATGTGTATAAGTGAAAATAAAATATCAAAGATCCAGTATCAAAGCGAAGGACAATCCCAAATGTGCTCATCAACCACTTATCAACCTCAATATAAACCTAGGAAAAATTGGACTTCAAGGTCAGACTTGTTTATCCTTTCACCAGAATGGTTGATTTTGTTTAGCGGCATATCAACCTTTATGGGTTATTTAATGACAAAATCTAAATATTTTCAATGCATTTGCATGCTTTTTACTACAGATAAAATGTATTGGCCATTTTGCTATAAATATGTATTTTTATACTTACATAGTGATTTGTTTTTGTTTGGGGTTCACTATTTACCTGTAACTGTATTATATTAAGCGTATGGTAGCGAGAGAAAGGAATAACGAGGATTAGCATGAAGAGTACAGGAATGGTGATCTGGCATAAGTGTAGTATCGGGAGTGAACCATTTCTTGTGATGGTGTGGCCAAGGTCACAGGATATGGTTGGTGCATGTTTGGTAGATGGAGGTCAGAGCTGTAGGTTGTCTCATTGGTTGGTTGACCTGTTGTGCTGAAACAGGGTGACGTTGAATTAGCATGGTTTTGGTAGCCCTCTTCTGTGGAGCGGATGTCACTGGGGTCAACTGCGAAGAGAATGCTATATAAATGAGTCGAGGTAGGCTGAGGTAACTGTGGGTATTGGGAGGCCAGTTCTGTGGAAAGGAAGTTGCTGCATCGACTGTGAAGGCATTGAGGTAGAGCTGTTTGGTGGAACGGAGGTTGCTGCATCAACTGTGAAGTGAATGCCTTGTAAACAAGTCAAGGTAGAGCTGATCTGTGGCACAGAGGTTGCAGTGTCAACTGCGAAAAGAATGCCTTGTAAACGAGTCAAGGTAGGCCTAGGTGATTGTGGGTGTTGGGAGGCCAGTTTTGTGAAATGAAGGTTGTTGCTTTGACTGTGAAGGGAAAGCCTTATAAATGATTTGAGTTAAGCTGCTGTGACGGTTGTGGGTTGGTATCGATGAAGACTTGTAGCTGGGAGGAATCAAGGTTGAGATGTTGAGTCAAAACTGGATAGCCGAGGTGGTAGGTCAAGACAGGAAGTGGTAACAGTTGCTGAAATGTGCAGTCATGTTGAGTGGTGGTGCTGAAAGTGGCAATGGTGGTGGTAGTAGTGCTTTGCATGGTGGTCAGTCTGGTGACAAGGTCATGGCAGCAGCAGCAGCAGCATCCTGCATGATGGCCGGTGGCCAGACCACAACTCTGTTGTCATGGTGGCAAGGTCATGGCAGTGGAAACATTTGTGATTGGCTACTGCCAGAGTTCATTTTATAGTCTGGATGTGGTGCGTGGTGCCCAATGCTCAGAAAATGACTTTTGTTATTTCGTTTTCTGCCTTCATGGTGTTCACATCCAGCCAGTGTGCAGAATGAGATCTAAATGCAACAGAGTATAACAGCTCCTTTAGATCTCAGTCTGATTCATAGGCAGCAAGTGGTGGTGAGTTCAATAATCCTTTGCCGCTGATGTGAGTTATAACTATTTCCCACGCCACATACTTCTGACACCAGATGTTCGACTGCGAAGGGAACGCTTGTAAACGAGTCTAGGGAGAATTGTTTAAATCGAAACTGGATAGCCGAAGTGGTAGGTCAAGCCAGGAAGTGGTAACAGTCATTGAAATGTGCAGTCATGTTGAGTGGTGGTGGTGAAGGTGGCAGTAGTGCTTTGCGTGGTAGCTGGTCCATAACTCTGTTGTCAAGGTGACAAGGTTATGGTGGTGGTAGTAGCAGCAGCAGTTCCATGCATGACAGCCATGACCGTGTCAGGCCTTTCTTAGAGTCTGCTTTTAAGCAGGTCTGGTAGTCCCAAGGGGCATCTCTTTTACTGGCAGAAGTGTTCGCAATTGGCTACCATCGGAATTCACTTTGTAGACTGGACATAGTGCATGACGAATACACAGAAAACAACTTTTGTTATTTCATTTTCTGCCTTTGTGGTGTTCGCATCTGATCAGTATACAGAATGAATCAGAATGAGATCTAAATGCAACAGGGGTATAACAGCTGGGACCCTAACAGGTGCTAAAGTCCTGGGTCAGGGTGGACCTGCGAACAACAATTAAGAGGTGGTTCCACACTCCTTAAAACCTTCAATCTCCCAATCTGAGGACTTGATGTTGGGTAGAGTTTATTGCCATACCCAGCCTTTCAATAGAAAGCAAGACAAGCTGGTCCACTCCAAAGAACTAACGAGAATGGGTGCAAAGAGACGGGGGGGTTTTTCTCTGCAATGATAGTTTTTATTTGTATTCAAGAAACCTTCCAAAACAATGTTTGCTAAGTGTTCATTGATTTTTAAATGTAAAAGCCAACATTCTGTACAACCTCCATGTGATAAAAGTAGCAGGAGCAGTCAGCAATCAGAAATCCTGAAACAAAAAGTGCAAGAATAATATGCAAAATAGTGTAATCATCATCATTATCCTTTGACCTCCCTTTCCACACTGTTCATTCTTGTATTGCTGTCCCCAGATCCCCAATGTCCAACCCTGGGACCCGAGCTATGGCATTTATAAAAATCAATTTTTGTGAGAAGACACTTCCAGAAGGATGCGATATGAGACAATTTCCCTGTCTGCTCGACAAACTGTAAACATTTTTGTTTGAGAGATTGGTCTCAGTTCTCCGTAAATTGTATTAATGTTGCATGGGATCTCCAACTGTTGTTCTAAATTTTTCTAAGTAGATTTGTATATGTTCCAACCAATCATCTTTCAAGACAAACAGACAATGTCTAAGTTTCTGGTCCATATAGTAGGACTGGTTCAATCAATGTTCGAAAGGTTCAGACTTTTAAGGAGGATGGAAGGTTCGAGTGTCAAATCTTGTGAAGTTTGTTACACGCATCCCATGATGCAATAAAGGATTTGGATTTATCGATAACAGGAAGCTAACCTTGCCATATCATGAGTGTGAGAAGTGATTTGTAGTGACTATTTCTTTTATTAAAAAAAAATGGACTCTAAAAGTGTGGCTGAGTTTATTTATTATTAACATTGATCTACACTACATTATTCGGACTACTGTCCTCATCTTTGTTGCCATATTTATTACGTTTTGGCCGTTTGTACGCTCCAGCCTTATTCAGGTTGTTTGAATGTCAAACTGAACCCTTTATTTCACTCACTGGGGTAGACTGTTCTAGTTCTACGTGCCATGTTTAATAGACCGGGTATTGAACTCACACTCTTTGGGTCCTGTCACTGGATCTAAACAATGCCTTTATCCACTGTGCCATGTGTCCTCAAGGATACATGGAGCAGTGGATAAAGGCTGGAGCATACAACAGCTGAAACATTGTAATAAATATGGCGACAAAGATGAGGACAACACTCCAAATAATGTAAATAATGTGCATAATACTTCATCTCAGATATATAGACAGATACTAACATTGATCTCTCCACCCTATTCAAGGGAAGTCTATACCACCTGTTATCTTTACTTTTAAGCAGTGATGTCCAGAGGTTTGATGATGCCCAAGGCCAACTCCTTGATTGTACATCCCTAAGACTCAAGTAGGTGGGCCTATAGGGCCTACTACTGAGAAATGTGAGAAAGAAAGACATTTTAAGTATGTAAGAACAGATGATACAGGAAATAACCACTTTTTCAAACTAAATTTAAAATAAATTTTTATTTAACTCTTTGATTGAACACCTTCTGGATATGGATGCCTGGGATTGTGGCACACTCTGCTCCCCCACCAACTTCTGCATGCTACTGCTTCAGTGTGTGTCTCTCTTATTCAAGTTTATAAGTTCAATCTAATTCTTTGCTAAACCCAAAGCTACATTCTAAAACATAATAAAATATTTCATTACCACACATTGCTATTATTTAAATGAACAGTCTGTCTCTGGATTACTGTGACCCCAATTTTATGAACGTTCTTGAGTAGGAGAAAGCCCAACATAGATCAGCATATAGTGAATTATTTGTGGGTTGATGAAAACCAGATGAAAGGATCTGAAAGATTTATTCATTCATTCATTTTCTACAGCTTATCAACCCTTTGCAGGTTATTTAAAACCAGAAAATATTTTTAGATTGTAAGATTTTTTTGGAGATAATAATGATTTTACTAATACAAATAATAATGTTTTAGTTATATGCCTTACTAATTAACCCATAACTGGGGAGAGAAGGGTATTTGTGCATAAGTGAATATAACAAACCCAACTGAAATTGGAACAAGCTTACAACACCTGGTGTTCCCAAGTGGTCACTCATTTAGGTACTGACCAGGCTCCTCAACATTGCTTAAATTTGGAGATCACATGGGTATTAGTGTTTCAACATGATGTGACCATAAGCCAACTTGAAAGAGATTGGTAATGAAGAAATCTGTGTTTTAGCCTGGTTTGATTAAAAAATAATGATTGAATGAAAGGAAAGCTCTATTAAAATATCAATCAGTTGGGATACATGCTTGTAAATCATTCATAAAATTTGGCTGATGACTTGAGTTTGAAATGATGATGATTATATATATATATATATATATATATATATATATATATATATATATATATATATATATATTGTTTATACATCATTTTTATACATACAAATATTTAAGTAAATACTCTGCTTATAATAAACAGTATTAACATTTACCAGCTTGATTGTACGAGAAATCTCAAAGAAAATGTGTCCTCTGACAAGAATTGAACCTGTATCTTACACAAAATGTCATATAGCCTGATGTGCTATACCATATAGCTACAGAGGAAGTGTCTGATCAGCAAGGTTAACTTACTGTTTTTGAACTACAAACTTCCCATGATTTCTCTCAAATGCACATATCTGCTCAAAGTATATATTAATGTAGACAAATAACAATATATTATGAAATGGACTAAGTCCAACAATTATTTCATAATATGAAATATTATAATATCCATTTTCATAATATGAAAATTATATATATATATATATATATATATATATATATATATATATATATATGAAAACAAACATACACATCAAAGGCAAACAGCATTCAAGTCCAAAAGAACCTCAAAAACAATATTTATCTTTGGGATTCCCAACTATTTTAATCATTGTGCCCATCTTTCTTATTCCTTGATGGGGCCCTGAAAAATGAGAAACAGTAACTGTCTTTGAACATCACAGGATGTCCCATGACAATGACCGAAACATGACATGAATTGTCAGGAAATACTTAGATGACAGCAAAATTAAGATATTGGCATATACAGTATAAAGTTCTGACCTAAATCTCATTGAAAATTTATGAGACTATTTGAAGAAAAAAAAAGTAAGAGACATAAATCCTTCAGGATTGTTGAAACCAGAAGCTATTGCCATGGAATATGGAGCAAAATATCTGTCAGTGTGTGCAGTGATCTTGTAAGGAACTATCAGAAACTACTAAAGTCAATAATCAAGAATAAAAGTTACACAACTGATTATTGAGGCATATTCCTTGCAATAATAATAAAGTTACTGAAAAAAGTTAAAAACTGTTTGATGAAGAGAACAGACATTACAGTGATATAACTTTTAATGAAATTTCATCTCCACCTCTAAAGGAACAAAGAAAAGCCACAACTTTAGTATTTGTGATAAAGAACCATTATAAATGGCATTCATTTATGAGTGCCAAAGCCAATGGGTTGCAGCATACTATTATTCCATCAATATAATTCCATCATTTAATATGAAGGACCAAAATATTGATATTACATCTCTGTCCAGTACTGTAATCAAATTTTTAATTCCAACCAAAGGCAAAAATAATTATTTCTGATGGCCTTTGTTGAATGATATTACACAAATGGTATCAACATTTATCTGTAAATAAGACTTTGATATAATACTGTTTTCAAGTGATGTTCCAGGAATGTTGGCTATAGCAGAGGCTTATAAACAAATCCAGGCTGAAACTCACCATCAAAAGAGGAAATGCAAAAGCATTCCAACTGTTCAGAAAGTCTTTTTTTCATCAATTCCAATAAATGTAAATTTATCAATTTTAGTTTTTTTTTAGTTAGAAGATAAATGAGTTTAAAGCTTTACGATAAGCATTTGTTTGAAGGATTGACCAATGATTCATTTTCATGAAACAAATTTATAAATTTTGTAGTTATTACTGTCCATTTTCTGACAAGTTAAAAATCACATAATTCACAAAGGTTTAAAAAATTATATACATCTCTGACAAAAGGTCTTCATATTTCAGAGAAAAGAGTTGTTTTGTTGAATTCTTCATCCCAAAATAAGTATACATTTTTATGGCAAATTCAAGATGGTATACCTGTTTTTGCCCTACTGTCAAATTGCACTTCTGGCTGTTTTGCCAATTTTTTTTTAAAAGTTTAAAAAAAAAAAAAATTTACTACTGAAAAAATATACTACTGAAAAATTGTTGGGCTATGAATCAAGAAGTTGCAACTGTTGAAATGAAACTGGTAGGAGGAGTCATAATTACCCTTCCGTACCATTTTTTAACCATTTCATTTTTTAGAACACAATTTTTCCCAATGTTTAAACTGGTTGAATCTAATAATCATTGATTCCATTAGTATTATCTTTCTTTTATTTCAAGACTACCTATATGATGTTATATTTATAATGAGTTTTCTCTTGCTTGAAGCCTGCATCTTCAGTTATACACTCTTAAAATTGGCTTCTAACACAATATTTCTAACTTTGAATGGTCATAACTTAGTTGCTAATTGAGCTACCAAGATAAATTTGGTACCATTTTTTATGTTTTGTCAAACTTTCTATGTTTGTATTTAAAGTTTTTAGATATATTAAAAATAAAATTTAGTTAAGGATACCTAATAATATAAAACAAAATGGCTTCTTGAAATTGACCAACTCTTTTATGTTCAAGGTTTAGAATGAGATGAAGGCATTTGGATGAGACATGTCATCTGTAACCAAGAGAGAGAGAAAAATATTCTAAACAGTCTGACCTTGTAAGGATGGCCAAGTTTATCCAGCATGTTCAGATATGATTGTTTGGGAAAGATCATTGAAGACTTGTTGTTTATAAACAGTAATTTGGACTTTGCTAACCAGATGCTTCTCTGTAGCTGAGTGGTATAGCATGTCAGATGAATTGATGGTTCCATATAGGACACAGGTTTGATTCCTGTCAGAGAGCACATATTTTGTACAAAATTTCTTGAACATTCAGGCCAGTAAATGTAATTAATACTGTTTATTTAAAAAAAAAAAAGTGCATTTACTTAAATTGTATCTTTTAAAAAATAAAATATATATATATATATATATATATATATATATATATATATGGGCCTAAAGGTTGAATTGAAGCATGAAACAGACCATCACCACTCGATACTGACCTCAATGTCCATCCTTATATTTGCACATGGACCATCCCTGATATTACCCATAAATATAGCATACCCTAAAACTATTTTTTTATCATATAAAGTTGGATGAGAATTTGACCGAAAACCCTTTTCTTTCTTTTTACAATAATCTTCTGCAAAAAGAGTTTATTCATCTTGTATTAATGGAAAAATGTGCAGGTATTATAATCACTATTGGCACAAAAAGTGGAACTGGTGAGAGTTCAAATTCCAGCTTTGAATCATCTCTTCTTCTCCTAGCTATGGGTTAAATAGCAGGGTAGACTGGATTCTCTAGACTTGAATAGTAATCAGTCTAAGAGAAAGAAAACTCTGAATTACAAACTGTGGAGAATGCAATAGGAAACCACTCTACTATTTTTCCAAGTATTGCAATTCACAGACAAGGGATCTCTAGATAACTATCAGGTCATCCTATAAGTTCTGTCCGAATTTTGAATAAAGAAAACAAGTGACCAACTTGGCAAGAATGGAGAGAAGAGCAGATGTCAACTTGGGATTTGAGGTTGTTTTCAGACAATTCATGAGGCACCCATTTTCCAAGTTTAGGAACTTTTCCAAGTTGTGGAAGATGACGATGAACAGTTGTATGGTTTGAACTGAGAACCACTGCCAATTCCTCAACTGATGAAGCAGGATTTTCTTCAAGGTCTGCTTCAAGAAGCCTTTCATCAAACTCAACTGGACGTCCGGTTCGATCTTCATCTTCAAGGGTGAAATCTCCACCTCTGAATTTTGCAAACCATCTTCTGCAAGTTCTTTCATTCACACATTCCTCTCCATAAACTGAGTGAATTTTTCTAGCCGCTTTGGCTGCTGAGTTTCCTTTCTTGAACTCATAAAGCATTATGTGCCTCAAATGATTATGGGTACTTCCATGTTAGCAGGGTTTTAATCAAACAAAATTTAATTTTATTGTTCTCTGAAATAAAATTTGATCAGTTTAAATGCATCTAAACATAAAAATAATGTTCAGCTCCATTAGACATTATAAAATACTCTTTAAATTTCGCTCATTTTAACAAAAAGTTAAAATTTGGACAGAACTTATGGGATGACCTGATATATTCCCTTAGGTCCTGAAAGGAAAAAATATTGATGGAAAACTAAACAGACTTCATACTGAAACATAATACTTGATATTATAAAAAAAAAAAACAATACTTGATATTATAAAAAAACACAATACTTGATAACATTAAAAAATACAAAGAAAAAAAACTTACTTTGTTTTCAAACTATCTTTAATAAAACAAAGTTTAATTTTATCTGTTAAGAGCTTCATCAATTAGTTCTTTCTTTTTTTCAAAATAATCTCTGAACCAATCAACATGTTCTTTCTTTTGTTGCACTGTAAGGTGAGGATTATTTGATAGTCCAGTAATAACCAACTCCATAAAGTGGCGAATTGGACCTTTTTTTGGAAAGTCAACAATCAAGTGTTCCAGAAAGACATGTTCATGGAAACCAATTTTTTTCTCCTCTTCCCAACCTGAAAAAAATAAGAGAGAAAATTTTCAGAACATCTAAATGTATTTAGAATAAGGAAATCTCATGTCATTCACCTCCTGTCAAGGTTGATTATGGAGGTAAGTTTTTTGTTGCTACCACCTTGTAAAGGTATTTATTGGAGTAATAGTATCTTTCTTAAATATTTCTTCACAAACAAATAGTTCATCTTTTATGAGAAACTTACACAATATGTGTATTAAGGTGCATGATGAAAAAAGTATTTATTTTACACAAATATTTATTTTTCAGTGTAATTTATTTCTTTGTCAATGCACTTAATTCAATGGTTAACATTAATCATAAAGATTGAACATTATATAGTAAAATTTTCAGATCAAAATTTAGCTAATGACTACATGTCAGGCTACAGGACTTACTGATCGAGCCTTTCAACATTGACACTAAAAATTTTTGTTCTTTCAAAATGGATAATTTCCTTCAACTCTAGCAATTTTAAATGCTATAACTTTAAAGATTAAATCTTGCAGTGGCTTCTGATTGATTAAGTTCTTAATTAATTTCTTTACAATAGCCTTGGAACTTTACAAAAATAGATTAAAATGCTGGAAATAAAAAAAAATCCTCTTCCATATGTACAAGATAAATATATTTATTTTGGAAAATATATATCTCTTATGTTGACGCCCAGCTGCACCTGTCTGAGGATAATCCAGTAGTGCCTTATAAAAGACGTTTTAGCAATTGTAAAATTCAGAGTGAATTTTATCAGGAGTATTAACATCCTGATCTGATCATAATGTTCAATATTAGTTACAAAAATATTCACCAACATTTTATGATGGAAATTTTCAGATATTAAAATTAAATTTAGTCAGTTCCACATTTTCAGTAAAAAGTTAATAAATTTTCTTTAACTTATCTTAAAATATGAGAAAAAAATTATCAGAAAAATAAAAAAATAAAAAGTTGTCATGCCAAACTATTTTATAACCATATTTTATTTCTGTAACTATTGAATGTAATGGATTCAACTGTAGAGCCAAGTTTGAATTCCATTCGAATCCATTACATTCACTTACATACTAATACCCTTGGGAAAGGTATGAATCCTCTTCTTCTTCCCCCAGCTCTGGGTAAATAGCAGGATAGACTGGGTTCTGTAGCCTTGGATGGCAACTGGTCTACTGCAGAAAGAATTGGCAACCTACTGCAGGAAAAAATCTGCCTCATCAGCCATGTATCGAAAGATACATGATCGCCTAAGCGTGTATCTCGCATGGCACATAATTGATTGAACTATTTTGGAAATTATTTTTCTTACAAGATACTGAATTTCTAGAATATTTTATAAAATGAATTTCACTATCCAGAGGCATTTTTTACATTATTAAAATAATACTCAATTAAGTTTACAAATGTATTTACATATGGGCAGCTAAGATGAAAAACATTTTAAAACAAATTTTAATTTATAGTAGCTTTAGATCCATATAAAAACTTGATAAATAACTTTGTATAATTGATTGATTTGTCTACTATAGTTTATCAATGCTTTGAGGTTTATTTAAAGCTGAAACATTTTGGATGGTAAAAATAATTTTTTTGCAAGTGAATATGGCATTAACAAATTTTCTTTGCGAAAAACAATGAATTTTTTCTGATACAAATTCTACTATTTAACTATTACTATTAAACCCATAGCTAGGGAGGAGATGAAATCATACCTTTCCCAAGGGTATTTGCACATAAGTGAATATAACTTTGTAAAAAAAACATTTAACAATATATTTTTAATCTGATTAAAAAGTAAACTCAATGAAATCCATTTAAATTTTTAAATACAGTTATCTGATAACTCGATAATAAAAGATGAAACAGATTAAAAATTTGATTTGAACTTTGATTAATTGACTTAGTAAATACATCAACATCATTAATGAATATAACAGATTCAATTAAATGTGGCTTCATATGGCCCTAGAGGGGAAAAAAAAAACAAATTTTAAATAAAGTAAAAAATCCTTATACTTTGAATCATTTCATCTGATGATCAAATGTTATTGATTATTTGAGATTTTAACCATTTTTATCCCAAACTTATGCCAAATTGACAAAAGAAAAAGAGGGGGAATTTGTTTCTTAATTTTGATATATTTAAGTAACTAGTTCTGATGTTGAATCTAATATACACAGTGGAGTTCTGAAAAAAGGTATCAGCCAGACAAAGAAGCCCCCATTTATCATTTCACCCCAACAAGGTAATAAAGCCACTAAGATGCAGGGTGCTAGTGAGGAGAAAGAACAATAAAAGAACAGGATTAAAAAAGACAGATCATAGATGACAAGAAAGCAAAAAGCCAGAAGAGAGTTCAACTGAAAAATTGTCTAGCATGACTCAACTTTCCTAGCAGCAAACTGTCAGATTTTAAGAAATGAGTTAGGTCGAGAACTTTTCAGCACCCCCTTATATAAAGCTCAATCACTTGGGAAATATTTCACTACGAATATTTAAGAATTGAGAAAAATGTTTAAAATGTAACTAAAAGTAAAAGAAATTAAAGAGAAAATTAATCACTAACCCGCTTCATTGTCGATAGGAAAAGTCCAGTACTTTCCTTCATTTGTCAAGTTAATGAGTTCTTCAAAATGATTTGATGGCAATGGTAATTTCAAAGAATTTAACAACTCTTCATCTACTTTGTCCCACAAACTAGGCTCTTCATCTGTTGGAGGAGATAAAAAATTACAAATCAGAAACAAAAAAACTTTTAATCTAAAAATCAATATTCAATTTCTGTATGTTTGTGTTACTGTAAAACAGCAAAAACGTCATCATAGCAAGTGCAAACTGTTAAAATTTTCTAACTTGGAAATTTAATCAATTTCCAATCCAATTTACAATTTAACATCTCCACTAGTTCATACCTCCACCAATTCATTGAAAAAACAACATAGCATGGGGAAAAAAGGCTCCAAACTTAATAAAAACAAAGAATTATCATCAAAATGTTTGTTATTATTTAGAGGAAAGACCAAAGTATTTTTCTATTATTTTATTAAATTTTTTAATCCATTCTAGCACATTTGAAATTTTGCTTTATTATTATTATCTTTTCTTTTTGTCAGTTGCTGGCCAAAGATTACTATGAGTGTCTTAGAGTTTTTTCCAATAAAAAACATGCTGATTTGAAAATTCTTGCAAAAATCAAGTAATTGTCAGATTTTAATGAAACTTTCATTACTTTTTTTTACATGTTACCCCTATTTACTTAATTTTATGAAATTTCAAGAAATTAAAATTTCAGCCTCTTCATATTTATATTAGTTAAAAGGAGGAGTCCTTGGAGAATTTTTGTAATCATTTTGTTTTTGTCAAGCGGGAACACCATTTATCTGCTCTGAATCGTAAAATAAAAAATGCAATAAAACTATGACATTATTTAATCAGGAAAGCTTTTAATTGCTTTTATAAATAAGATATATTAAGAACACTATTGTCTTAAGAAAAAAAAATCAAATAATAATGAATTTTTACAAGAATTGTTTACGTTTTTAAAAATTTCAAATTGAAAAATTTATTCTTTTAAAATTTTGTATTAATTGCAGCCATTAAATTATATTATTATTAAGTGAAAACTATATTTACTAATCATAAATGGAAAACCTTAATACCAGTCATCAAGACTTTTACCAAGATTTTTTTAAAACAATTTTGAATTTTTTTTTATGTATATAAACATGCACATTTTTGCAAGTATGGTTGACAATATATGATATTATAAGAAAATGAGTGTGATGACTATTGTAAAGTAAACATTCCTAAAATTAGATTATGGAGAATATTTTCCAACATTTTTAAGATTACTGAATACTTCAAAATTATATAAAAAAGGTGCTCATGTCATTTTCTTAAATTATGTTTTACAAATACAGTCTCTGTAGAACAATAAACCTTTCATCACTTATCAAACACATAAACATGGCTACTGTCGGTTAAAACACAGCTACTGTCTGGTTTAAAAATGCATTTCTGTGTTATTTTAAACTTAAAGTAAATAACATTTGTTTCAAATCAGATTAACTATACTTTAAATCAGCGAATATTTCACAAAGTTTCAGAAAAGTATATTTTATTTTTGGAAGATTTTTTTTTAATAAAGAGAACTACATTGCAATGAAAGAAATCTAAAAAAGGCTGCTAATCAGCTATTTTATAAAAAAAATTGTTTCTGCTTGAAATACAGAAGAGTATTTTGCTTACTGGAAATATTAAATTTAATCCTTTAGCTTTCAATTAAAGCTAAAATGAAAGCTTCAAGAAAGTTTTTTCATTTTTAGAAATTCATTTTAAACCTTAGGTATTGTAAATTAGTGGAGGAACTTATAGTATACGGTCCACATTCGCGCTCATCATGATAAACTATATTTTAATGCGCTGATTCCTCAAGGGAAATAACTAAAGGCATATTAAATGTTAATTAAAGAGTAGTTTCTCTTACACATATATTTGTATATTTATTTTCAAGCAGTGATTTCAGTATGTTTGTTATTGTAAAACAGAAAAAAAGGTATGACATAGCAAGAAAATTTGCTAAATTGGTGTATAAAGAAATTTCCAGTTCAATTTACAACTTAATATGAGGTCTGCATATACACTCACTTCAAAGATCCTCTTTCTCAAGAGGGAAAACTCCAGGTACATTAAATGTTATTTGTAGAGTAACCTCCCTTATTTATTCATTTGCAAATAATTATAACATAAATTCAATATGATGTAACTTGGCATCGATTTTAATGATGGCTTTTAATAAGTTATAAATTTTTGGAAAATGTTCAAGAAAATTCAGTTTATTGATTAATACTAATTATATGATTTTCTTTTAATAAGCAACTTAAAAATCTTACTAGGAGTTAGGCTATTTTTTGTACAAGAATTAGTACTTAAGTTGCCTAAATCTTTAATTCTTAGGTCTAACAAATAGAAAACAGACATTTTAATATAATTAAACTAATAGAATTGGTAGAATTCTTGAATACAGTAAAATAACATATTTAGTAACTCATTTTGTTTAATTTTATCGTTTTGAGTTGTTTAAATCATATTGACATCAGTCGTAGAGTTACTTAAGATTTGGTAAACTTTGAGTAAAGTTGCTTATAAACAAGCTGGTTATTAATAAAGTTGTACAATATATTTAATGCAAGCTTCAAACCAATGTCATTCTTTACTTATTAAACATAATGAACTGAGATAAAAAAATATAAGTCCTTCAATTATTTTTTACATTAAAATTTTTGTTTTGTCTTAACAATCATATAAACCCCTTCAAATCAAGTTTTCTTTTTTTATATAAATTTTGAAGGCTAACTAAGTAAAAAGAAATTTACAAAATGCTAAAAAGCAAAAGATTTATCTTTGTTAAAATAACTGAAAAACTTAGATATCAAGAAAAACGTTGTACATTTATCAAAAATCAGATTTAGAAAAGTCTCTCAATGTTCTGAAATAAAACAGATCAATGAGATGAACTTATAAAATTTGAATTACCTGATTTTGATATTTCCACAGGCTTTTTTGTGAAAATTCCAAGAGATGGTCCAGAGAACAATTTACCATCTCTAGAGGAGATAAGAAATTAATTATTAACAGCAAAGAAAACTTACAGCAACAAGGTTTTAGGATCAGTTTTTTATGCAAAAAATAGGTGAGGGGAGATTGCACTATACACAGGTATTTTTTTCAAAGAGTTTAAAAATTATGCATTTTTGGTGACTTGTTGAACTATACACAGGTACATTTTTTCTGGAGGGGTTAAAAATCATGCAAAAAAATTCATGGGACTGAGGATACATAAAATCAGTTTATACATGAGTATATATGACACGTTCAGCACAGAAGGAGCATATTCAACAAAAAATCGAAAATTACTTTTATCACTGTAAATTATTCATTATATCATATCCAAGTATTTTATAAAAAAATTAGAGCTGATTACACAATACTTCAAGCTCAGTTTAGATTTATAGTTTGTAACCATGCATTGAGATGAGGTAACATAAACTGTAAATTCGTCTGCGGAATATCATTACATTATTGTTACCTAATTAGAGGTGAAAACATTAAGTTTTTTGTCAAAAGCATTTTATTTTTGGTCATATATTAATTTAAAACATTCCTTTTTATAGGCTTTATTTTTGAAATGGAATAAGATCATTCTAAATTTTGCTATTGCCCATCAAAATGACTGGAAGAAAGCTCTAAAAACAACAATGGAAAAGAGTGGTAACAAAGTAGTTCCAGTTTGTTCAACTTAGGAAATTTAGCATTACAGCTAAAGTATTCTAAAATGCTACCAATAACAAAGAAGAAAATGAAAAATAACTAATAACAAATCAAATATAGCATCAAAATTTATATTATTTTTATTTATTTATCTAACTAAATACATAATTGTCACAATGTTTCTGCAAAACTTGATATTTTCTGTAATAAATTCTTAATAACTATTACTAATTATTTTACTTAACTGTAAGTTAGTCATACATTTACAATTCCTTACAGCTAACCATGAAAAGAAATGTTGATTAAAACTGCCTAAAACCTTTAAGCACATATTGCCACAAAATTATCAAATGTTGAATAGGCCACTCCTCTGCTGAATGCATCATATATGGTAAATAAGAGATACAAAGTTAAAATATAAATATGTATTGACCAAAACATAATGCCTGACATTCTTTAATCACAAAGTATACCAAAATGAACACAAAAGTTTTAAGACTCCAAGTCTAGTTCTAAACATAGTTTCCTTCCTTCTCAATTGTGGTATTTAACCTTTTGAACGAGGACATGTAAACTTCTTGACTATTTTCTTGGCTATGTGTGAGTTTTCTTCTTCATCTTAAACAGGTGTGGCTGGCCAGGAAATGGATGAGAGATCATAACGACACCATATATAAATATATGTGGATGATTGTGTAGTTCCTCAGGTCATCAATCCTAACATCACCATACCATACATAAACATATGCATGGTAGTGAGATGATCTTTATACTGGTGAGGGAGTTATTTCTACCTTTGACATTCTTAGTCACTCCCTCACTGTGATACCCATTTAAGAACATAATGTTAACTTGGTTGTTGCATACCTAACAAGATACTTCAAATCTCGTTAGGCTGTCTGTGGTTTCTGTTTGTTGCTTCATAGTAAATCAAACAGTGTGAATCCACTTGTTGGAAATAATGACAAATACCAGTATAATTAAAAGAAATTTTACTTGTTGGCAAACAGACAGAATAGTTAATAAAAGGAAACATCAAACCATTAAAACTTTATGTGATTTCGGGTAATCTTTTGCTGCATGTGCATTCACAACCTAGATGTGTGTGTTCTTTAGCTATATTCACATATGCCAATAATCATTTTAAGGGAGTTCTCACAACTATTAAACCTTAATATTGTTTTAAGTATTCTGAAGCTTTTCAATTCTAAAAAAACTGTCTGCTTCTAGCTGCTGCTACAACTGATGGCTGGCTTCCACATTCTCGTATAACAAACTTTGATTGCAACTACTGGTTACTGTTTGTGGTTCAAATCTTAACTGTCTCAACAAATGACCGGATCCCTTCTTCTGCTCTGCTATCACTATCACCAATATAGACAGCTGGAATCCCTAATCTGCTCTTCTGTTGCTGCTACCTGCAAGCACTGGTATATACAGAGAATCAAGCACCACCTTTAACCTCACAAGTGTTCTTTAGATGTAAAATTTCTATCGTTATGAGTCTGAATTTTTGTTTCCTTTTCCAAATCAGACAACCTGTCAAGATCCATTGTGTTTTCAAGAAAAAAAAACAAAGATAAAACAAATAACCCAATCTATAGCCATCCTAATTTAATGGAGTAATGGATAGCGGCTTGGATTGAGGAATCGGAGAGCCGAGTTCGAATTCCAGTTGAATCCATTTACATTCACTTACATGCTAATACCCTTGGGAAAGGTGTGAATCCTCTTCTTCTCCCTCCAGCTATGGGTAAATAGCAGGACAGACTGGGTTCTATAACCTTGGATGGCAACTGGTCTAAGAGAAGGAAAATTCTGAATTCAAAACTTGCAGAGGATCGTTTGGGGACCTTGTGGCACGTAGTGCACCAGGTCTCTCTAATCAGCCCTTCAAAAAGTGTGGATGGTCCTGCACAAAACCTTCACCACTATAATCAAATCTCATGTGCTATACATGTGGGTTGGGGACTGCTTGTGAATTCCAAATTCCCATGAAACTCCAATATTGGAGCTGGCTCAACCCACCTCGGGTGAATGCCGTTACAAGAAGAGAAGAACATCTTAATTTCATAAATTAGGAATATATTATTTTAGCACACTAGGGGAGGTGGGATGATAAATTAATATATTCCCTGTTAAATGGTGGCTATAAATATATTTCCAGCCAAATTTTAGCTTGACACATTCCATCTTGACAAATATTTGACTCTTGGGGTTACCCCACCAAAAAAGTACACTTCTAACAATGTAAACTCATAGTCTTAGTATTAAGCAATTCTAATGCTGTCTCTAATCTTCTTTTTATGGTTCTTAGATTTTTTTCTTTATTTTAACCTCCCATTGATCTCTGAATTAATTAGCATTTCTCTTAAGCTGTTAGCTTAACCATTTCACTGTAGGAAGTCACTGTTTGCAGCTTTCACACATCAATAAAACTTCCAGCGTGATTGTCACCTTGTTAAACTAATTATGATTAGAGAACAGCTCTCTTGTAAGTATCTCCTTTATGGGTCCAGTCTGAGGGTGTCAGTTTGTTTAATGTTTAACAACCTATCAATCCTGAGGGTGTCAGGTCAGAATTGGAAGGTGGATGAGGTAAGATTGTCCACCATGATTTTTTTGTCTGCTGCTGTGAGGCCTTGCATTGTCATGTTACAAAAAGCACATCATTCCTCTTTAAATATAGTCTAGCTCAAAGAATGTCTGCTCTGCTATTGATAGTGACAACATTGAATATAAACTCTAACAGTATGACTCTGTTCTGGTCCCAAAACACAATAGCCATCACTTTCTCTGTGAAGCATGCTGTCTTAAATTTAGACTTTCTGGATATGTCTGAGTGGCACCACTCCAATGATCTTTTGTTCTTTTGTTGATAGTGGTGAACCCATGTCTCAGCTTCTTTGACAAACCTGCTTAGCAATGTGCTATCTATGTTTTACAGTTCTAGAAGCTCTTCAGCAGGAATCACCCTATATTCTTTCATGGAATCAGTCAACATACTAGAAATCCACTTTGCACAGGCCTTTGAGTAGTCAAAAGACTGCAAAAACTATCATGGCTTACCTGAAGGATTTCACAGGGTTTTGAAATAGTGATTCTTCTGTCAGCTGTAATGCAAGCACTCACCTATTTGGCCATAACTTCCATTATCAGCAGCACCTGGTCTGCCACTATGAAGCCAATCACTAAAGTCAGTTTCTCCTGTCTTTCACCAATTGCCATTAACTCTACTGATTTATAGTCTTACTATGTTTACATCAAGTGCAGCCTTCCATTAAACATTCATTAACCCCTTCTCTAAAAATAGAAATTATATTAAAGTTCTTTGCTTTCTATGTAGGCATAGAAGGAAAGCAGTAAGTAACTACACAAATTTTTTCTTATGGCTTTCTAAACATTTTATGGTTTACAAAAAACAAAACTCTCAATTATGACTTATACTTTAAATTAAATTAGAACAGGCATTACATTTGGACATGTTAATTATACAAAAATTATGCAATTTTTCAAATCATTTAAAGAGTGGATTGTATTTCAATTACTAATTTTTAGCTTCAAATTTAAGCAAATGTTGAAAAAAAAAAAATTTCACACACCAATAATCTAAATCTTCCAAGCCAGTGATTATGTTATAAAAACCTGTTCAAGATGGTTTTTTTTTGTATGTACTTGTGGTAATTTACTGAAAGGTGTACAATAAAGATATTCCCTAACTGCTCCACGTGGTCGGATGTGGCACAAAGCTGAGTTTATTGTGGGGTATCCAAGCCTGTATGCTCAGGCAAAAATATCCCCATAGACCCCATAAAAACAGAGTCGGGTAGCAGTCTACCACCCCAGATGAGACTCTGCCCTTTGGCATAGCCTCGTCTGGGTTCCTCTCTACATAGACACAGAGAGTTCAACAAGCACACCTCCAAAGAGTGTACAATAAAGTGATGATATAAAAGAAATTAAATATCATCAAAGAAGGAAACACACTAGAAAGTGTGTAAGGTAAAAGAATTAGTATATGTGTTTGATAATAATAGCAGATAGAGTATGGTAGTTGCTAGAGAATGTGTAGGCTAGCCCAAAATGGCAAACCCTACAATACTGGTCAGAACTTTTGTTCAGCATAGTCCCAGTTTAAACTGCAAGTTGTTTCTGTAGGTGTTGAAAGATAAATGTACCTGAGCTGGTGTCTGAAACAGAGATTATCTAGCGACCTTAGCAGATTGGCATGCTCAGAAACAAGCAGCCAGTCATTATATATGATAGACTCTAGTTAAGGAAAGTTCTAGAATCTTTTTATGGAACAAACTCCTCTATCAAATAAATATGACAAAGGATTTGAATTGACAAGTTTTGATTTCCTGTCCTTTGCTCTTCTAAATGAAAGCATTTTTTTCTGGTCAGTACTTCAATCGACTTTGAAATATCTGTTGAGACATACATAAGATTTTGAAGATATTCAAGTAGCTATAAAAATAACAATATACTATGTAACAATAAAATATTCAAAGAAAAATCTAAAAGATAATGAAGAGACAAGACATTTGCAACTATGATAAAATAAAAATGTTTCATCTTACAAATTTTGTTGGTGCATTAATGCTTGTATTCTGTTTCTTTCTTTCTGCTTCGTTAAAATATCTTTAAAAAGAAAGCAAAAATAAAAGATCAATTTAATAGCATTATATTGTCAGTGATTTCATATAATGAAATAAAGCTTATCACACAAAATTCAAAGGCCTCATTTATTAAAAACTGATAAAAAGTTTTAAAATTATTAATTTCTAATGAGTATTTCTTTTTTCATATTTCTGATATTTATTGCAAGTCTCAGACCATCATTCTATCATTATTAGAAGCAGTGTGGATTGGAAATAAAGAATAAGCATCTAATTAGATTCAAATTCAAATCCTTTTTTCTCATGAAGCTTGCCTATTCAAGGCAGCCGCCTTACCAATTAGGGCATAGAGACCACTGGTTACATTAGCTCAAATCTCACCATGTAGCTTTCATTCTTTATTTTTCCCAAATATCTAATAATCAGCTTTTACATACACTCTTAGTAATATTACTTGAATTTATTAGATAAAGAATTATCAAGTGTTTTTATCACAACCCTCAAATCATGATTTTGTGAACATTAACAAGCCCTATGATTCAGAAAAACAGAATAAATATCCAGTGAGATTCCAATGTTGTACACTAATGACTACAGAATAATGACCTGTGAATTGCAATAAAAAAAGAAATATGACGAAAGAAATACTTGTCAAAATTAAAAATAACTGACAATATTTCATTGAAGAAATTCAAATAGTACATCAAATATTTTTTTTAGGTTACAGATAAATAATATAGAAGACTTAAATTTTTTTAAAAAGTAGAAAATGTAATAATAATTGCGATATTATTATTTATATAAAGCTAGAATAAAACTAGAGACAATTGGCATTAGATATTAAGAGGGAGTATTATCTAAATATCTAAGAATCATAAGGAAAGACATTGATAAACAGAAACAAATGCAATTCTACTCTCAATATACAAAGGTGGATCAACAGGTCCATTGTGAAATTTTGATATAAAATTTTCAGTAATTAATATTCACTACTGAATTAAATACATTCCCAAAGATTATAATCAAGGATTAATATTTGTTGCATAAAATGTCTTTTTTTCACCATTAGGCTGCAGATGTATTGATAATATTTACAGCAGTTTGAACACAATATGCTACAATATGAAGTCTTGTAAAAAAAAAAAAAAAAGCTAAAAGAAAAAGACTAAAGTAGAAGAAACAAATCACGTACGTTTAATTAATATAACAAGGTTTTTCAACTGGTAAAAATTCAAATACTAAATAACTTTACACTAAGCATGTTCACTGTTTTTGCGAGAAAACAGCATATAGCATAATGAAAATGCCACAAACTTAAATAAATAAAGTTTTATCGTCAAAATGCTTATGTTATTATTAAGATGAAAGACCAAAGTATTTTTTAATTATTTTTTGAAATTTTTTAATCCTTTCTAACACGTTCGAAATTTTGGTTAAATTCTTCTTTTGTTTACGTCATCATGGCATCACAGAAAATAACATATTTTTTTTTTTTGCAATTTTTTTTCCATTGAAAACATATTGATTTAGAAATTCTTGTAAAAATCAAGTAATATAATTGTCCGATTTGAATTAAATTTTCAGGACTTATTCACAAATGAATGAAATTATTTTTGAAAATTTTTTTTTAGAAAATTTTGGTAAAAAATATATTTTTTTTAAATATGTTACCCTACATTTACTTAATTTAATGAAATTTTGCCCAAAACCTTTTTGGTTCCTGAATTTTTTTTTTTTGTTAAAAGTAGGAGTCTTCAAAGATGGTAAATAACCTACTTTTTTTTTTCAAATTTGAGCTATTTAACTGAAAATCTGCTCTGAATTGAAAAATAATGAATCCAATAAAACTATGATATTACTTAACTAGAAAAGCTTTTAATTGCTTTTGTAAATAAGTAATATTAAGGACATTATTGTCTGAAGAAATAATTTTTTTCTGATGAATAATTAATTTTTACAAGAATTTTTTCGTTTTTTAAGAAATTTTAATTATAATAATTTAAAATAGTTTAAAATCGTGTAAAGCTCTGTATTAGGAGGGTTCCTTGAGGTGATGTAGTAATTAAGTAGAAAAAAAAAATTTACGAGTCCAAAATTGCTAAATTTAATAAATTTAGTTGCTTACTTTTTTTAAAAAATAATTTTTTTATGTTGTATTTTTTTACTTAATACATTCCTTATTTCCATGTATGATATACAGAAATTGCCATTATTATAACAAGGTCATGTGATCTAAGGGTTTTGTCCCTTTACGTGGCCTTTTCATAACATTTCGTTTCTTACAGGTTGTATTTTCCGTTCAGCTTTAAAAGTGTAAACTTTAAATTTTAAAGTAATTTTTCTTTTTTTCATTTACTATTTCACTATATAATTTTATTTTATGTATTGTATTTCCATTAGTGTGTGTCATACTCAAATAGAATAATTTTTTTAAAAACTCAGACTTAAAAATTATGTCATTTATGGTCATCAGTAGTAGCTGTCATCAGTTCGTCATTCAACAATCCATCATAGTTCGATCAGATGAACAGGACCGCTCGTTAATAATTGGTTGTATATTATTTTTTTATGCTATAAGTAAGAAAGATTTCTTTCAAATCAGATTACTTTAACTTTAAATTTTTTAATTTTACTAAAATAACGTGTCAGAAATTTTCTTAAATATTTTCAAAATCGATAAATTTGTGTTTGTTTAAAAATTTCTTAAAATGAAGAAAATGGCCGATTTATGAAAATTAAAAAATTTGAATTTAAATTTGACAATCAAATGTATATAGTTTCTATCTGAAATACACCAGAATTGTTTAATTAATGGAAATCATAAATTTAATGATTAAATTTTTTTTAAAGCTAAAATAAAATCTTCAAGAATGTTTTTTCATTGTAAAAAATTCATTTTAAACTTAAATATAGAAAATTTATGCCGAAATAGTGGAGATACTTTACACTATTTACATTGTTCAGACTATCACCCTCAGCTTTGTTGGCATATTTATCATGACCTTTCGGTCACTGTATGCTCCAGCCTTCTTCAAGTGGTTGGAATGTCGAACTGAATCCTTTATTCCAACCACCTGAAGAAGGCCGGAGTGTATAGTGGCTGAAACATTGAGATAAATATGGCAACAAAGATGAGGGCGATAGTCCGAACAATGTAAATAGTGTACATAATACCTCATCTCAGAAATATAGACAGATCCTAAATAACTTTATTTTAAATTTTACTTAAAGCTGAGAATGCAATTTGCTAAAATCTACAAGAAAAAGTTTGATATCAACAAAATTTACTTATTCCTCTCTGTTCACTAATTACTAAATGTCTGAGAGTTGCAATAAACGCCAAAAGAAATAAGATGAATTTTACTATAAAAAAATTAGTAATAATTTTCAATGCTTTATGTAAGCAATTTAAATTAAATTTTTCAGGATTAATGAATAAATACAATTCTAAGTTTTACATTTAATAAAGTTTATAATTAAAACCAAATTTTTTTTTTTAACCTAAAGTATTTTCTCTTTTATCAAAAATATTTAGGCCTTTTGAGGACCAATAATTATAACTCATGCTAATATTTTTTATATGGATCAAGTATTTTGAATGCCAATAATTTTACCCACCTTGCTTTTTTTCATCCACTTCTCTGTAGAGTTTCATGCCTGAAAACATTTCCCTGAAAAATAGTGGATTCGTATTTAGAAAGGAGTGGAAATTTTAAAAATATAGGACAATACAGATTTTCTGAAAAAAGGTATTACAATGTATTTGCCTATGGCATTCACACAACAGCCTTCATTTTAAAGGATATTACAAAAAATTTAATTCTCTTATTTTCATTGCATCTTGTTGACAGTGGGAAGTCTGAAATCCACTGTCACATAACCATTATATGATGTAATATGTTAGTATAATTGAAGCATTGGGTTTTGAATTATATTTGCATTACACATGCATTATCACTTTATATGTTAAAAGTTTCATAATTTCATTATAATGTTAAAATCAACTTCATAATTTGATTTCACTCACCATTTTCAAATATTTTTCAAATTAAAATCAAATGCACCAGCAATAACAGAAAGAACATATCTAACTTTATCATGAAGCATTTATTAACACTTTCACTGCTACTCATTTGCCCAGTGCTGCCCCCATCTGGCCAGCCATTTTTAAAGAAAATGCCAAATTTCAACCTACATATTTTATTACACAGAAAACTGGCACCAGAGTGTTTTACAGCATTCCATTTTCATGGATATACCTGGGAATGACTTGATCAGTAATAATGATATCTTTTGAAGCATTGTCCTTTGTGATTTTATGATAGATGGCACAACAGGACACTCATAACAGCGGTATGCAAAAAACGTAGGTTTCCGTACTTAGCCAGCTGGAGCAAGATAAGAAAAACAAAGATCTCCGTAGTTAGCAGCGGAAGTGTTAAAATACTGATATCGTATGAGGGGGTGCTGAAAAGTTTTTGACCCAACCCACTTTTCAAGATCTGACCAAATGATCAAACATCAGATTCTCTTTTGGAAGTGTTTTTTGGTTGGGCAGGTTCCTGGAGGGTAGCATCAGTCATGCTGATAGAAAGCAAAAATGGTTCTCTCAGATGATTAAAAGAGAGCAATTTCATTTTGGAAGCATTAAAATTATCAAATTTATGACATATCTTCATGTCATAAATTCACTAAAAACAATTGGCATTGAATGAAAAAAAAAACTAACTTGTCTTCAGAAAACCTATTTGCAAATTAAAATATCAAGTCATTGTTAATATATGAAAATAGTGAGAGAAAGAACACCACTCCTAAATATATGATATAAATGAATATATCAATTTCTAACTTAAATGCATAATACAGATGCAAGATAAGCTTTTCAGGACCCAATTTTAAAAGTTATGGACAATTTAATTTGTTGTAATTCAAAAATATTAAAAAGAAACAGATAAAATAATTTGGGATGATCTGTTAAAGGGTTAATATCATATATCTATTTTGATATAGTTGTTTGTAAAAGGAAATATGAGATAATTTTTCTTACTGCATGTTTGGTGATTGTGGAATATCCTCAGTTGGATATTGCTTTTGTTTTTTTATCACTTTTTTATGTGCCAATAATTTCTGCAAGAGGTCAGATTGTACAGTGACCTTATCGCCTGGCATTGAGTTTGCAACATCCTTAACAGCAGAAATCAAATCTGGGCTGATATCTTCGTCTGGACTGAAAAATTAAAATAATATTAAATCAAATAATCAAGAAAATTTTCTACATTGCATTTGATAAAATGTGATATTTAGCATTTCATTCTTTAGCTGACAACTTACTTTCATATTCCCAAGGGAAAATTTCTGCTGAATTAATATACAAAGCTTTATGTCATTTACTTCTCATTCTTTTACTGCTTTTGTAGATATTACATTTTGTCTGATCTCTTCTCTAGCGTTCTTCAGATGTAAAATATACATGCAAATAGGAGTACCTGTCTTTTTAGGCAGTACAAATTGAGAAGATGATGACCAAGAAAAAAAAAATTTAGAGAATAGCATTATTAAATAAGCATAATAATAATTATACATTTGTAGAAATGTAGTTTGAATCAAGGAAGAAAAGAGAATAGAATGTTGCTTACCTCGTGGGGGGGTAGAAAGAAGCAGTAACAGGAGATGATTTCCTTTATAGAAAGATATTGCAGGAAGGAAGAAAAGCTATAAAGTTCCTCTGAAAACAGGAGTCGGAATCTTTGTTTCACATGAGAAAGGTCGTGAGAAGGAACAAGATTTAACTGATGGACGAGACAGATCTGATCCCAGGAGTTTTTCTTATTTTTTGAAACACAAACTATTTCGGCAATAAGGAGTCTGGAATGGTGAGATTGGGTAGAGATGTGATACCACCATTTAGCAGAGAAGGTGATATAGTCATATAGATAAAGAAAGTGAAATTGGTCACCAAGCATCAAAAAGTGCAGATTTTGCTTTTTCTACAAGATGTACTTACCCTCTACCTTGAAATGTGTAATAAGGATCAGTTGGACATGGACATGATACAGATCAGACTGAAGAAAGTATTCACTGAAGAGCTCTTTGAAACTTATGAAAAGCTCAAAAGAATAAAATGGACTAGGGAATTAATGGACGTCTATGCCAATAATATCAAATGGTTGGCTGGCCTGGCAGGATATCTAGGAAGAGGACTGAATCAGATAGCGAAACTACCTTTTGTGATGGGCTTCCCGGACAATGTACCTGTGGCACTGCAACCCTGGTGTAGAAAATATGGACCTCTGCAAAATGATACCAGCAGCATGGCTCTTGGTCAGCAAAACAATTCGAGAGCCCAGGACAGTAGCAACAAGTGCACAAAGCACAGGATCAAAAGAAAACAAAGGTCATATGGAATCATTGGCATTAGGTGCTATAGATGTCATACCTCATTAGAAATTGTAACGAGCCATTAAGAACAAATGTAAGAATTGCGCGAGATTGGGGCATATTGCAAGATATTGCTCTCAGGGTCAGGGAAAGAAGCAAGGGAGAGCTTCTGCACCAGTAGCTACCCTGTCAACAGAACAAAGGCATAGTACCAACCTCTACCAATCATAGAAGTGTCAGTGGGTGGTGTGATAGCAGCAGCTCTTGTTGATATCAACTGCAGAACCACTTTACTTAATCCCAAGCTTGTGAGCAGGTGGAGTGGAGGTGGCACTGTTAAAAGCAGTTGAGGGAGACATCACAACAAAAACATATCTGGTTCTCTGGTAGTTGCATTGGTGGTACTAGGGCTATATCCCAAAAAGAGTTTTTCATAGGGGCACCCAGTGGGAGAAGAACTGATGCTGTGTACCAAAAAGCCCTGTCAAACTAAAAGACTATAAGATTGTTTTGTTTTAAACATCAAAATATTTTTTCTTGTGTATTTTCATTTTTTGTGTAATAAGAACATATTTTTTCCTTTATTGTGATACTTGAAGTTATTTTTCCCTGGACAATGTCGGGTATCCCAGCTAGTTAATATACTTCACATATAGCAATATTCATTATTCAAAATACCAACCAATAATCTTACCTTTCACCTGCTTTTTCATTTTTAAATGGAGCATCAGAGTGACTGTCAATCTTTTTTTTCTTGCAAGCAATTTGCCCAAGAGTCAATTTGCAACTTGAATTTAACAAATAAATCTTCTGGCAACTGTAAAAGAAGAAATTATTAACATTTACCCATATTCTGTTATTAAATAGGAAAAGACAACAAATCTTACTGTTATATGCATTTTAACACAGAGTAACCATCCAAGATTTTAATGACACAAAAATGTCACTCATTTTTAGTGGCAAAGAGAAAAAGAAACAAATAAAGTAAAAAACCAACAACTTTGTATCAGATTATTTTAAGTCTGCTGTATTTTTTTTACCAATTCATGTTTTTCTGTGTGGGGTATCACTTTCACTTCTACCCACTCATGTTTCCTTTCTTATAAATACTCACTCAAGACAAGGCCCAAGAGCCATTCAAGGTAAAGGGCAACTGTATTGTTTAATAGTGTAAGTAAAGGTAAGAAATGCAGTTTATGAGGTTATGTTGGAAAAATCTTGGGTTAACCCTAGACATGAAGAGGTCAAAATTGTAGTGATCAGGAAAACATCCTACCACATTCCTCAAAGCAGCAATCTTTGGAAAGAAGCTGTTCAAGTGGAACTTACTTCTTATTAATGGAATACAAAGGGACTGAAGATGATTCATACTTGTGTACATGGCATGGCAAGTCCTATCTGCAAATGTCAGGGCTTGTGGGACCAAGGAATGTAGCTTATCGGAACCCTTGCTATGGAAATAGCAATAAAGTCACAAATCATTTTACAAGCACCCAACCAATCTAAAATAACTCATAAACAAAGTGAAAGAAGTTAAAAGAGAATTAAAAAAATAATAAATTTTATTTAAACAAATTTATAATTTTTGCATATTGGCTGCTTCTATAATTAATGCAAGGTTTCTACAAGAATATTTTACATGAAATAATGGTGGTGAAAAGGTACATGTACAAAATAACAGAGATTGATTAATTGGCAATGCAAGATAACAATTATTAAACAAAATAACAAAAGAGAAAGAGTTTCTTTTCTTAGAAGTAAACTGCATACACAGCAAAAATTGTTAATGAATCTATTTGAGTGTGATTTGCCTATGTAGGTGTGTTTGTGAGTGAAGCATCCACAGCCCTTTTTGCTTTAACATGAAATGCTGATGGCACACACTTCAAAAGGAGGAAAACAGGAAGAATTACTTAAGTACTTTGTAGCAAAAAAGCTTTTAACTTTTTTGTTTCTTTCTGTAGTAATTGTAAGAGTAAAGAGAGTCCAGGACAAGTAAAAGTGCTAAACTTTATTCAACTAAACAAAACTCAGCTACAAAAGAAAAATAGTAGTTACAAGTTAAATAGCCAACTGGGGGAAGTCCATTGCTTGTACAGAGTGAACATGGGATACTACTACCACACTTTTCTTGCAAACAATGTGTTCAAATAATTGATATGGCAGCCTAATTCCACAGTGAAATAAACAAATCGCATGTCCAAACTCAAAGATCCAGGGGCAGAAAGAAATGTTGAAATCACAGGTCCAATGTCACAAATTCCAATATATGCAAGCCGATGGACAAGGTAGAAAAATAAAACAACTTCTCAATTTGAGAACACTAGCCACTTTTATTGATAGAACAATTTTTTTCATTGGTCAACAAGTGGGAGAGGACACACAATATTAGCAATTCAGAGATGCATTTATGGCAACACCTGCAACTAACTTGTTTCTATTTTGGTTGTCTTTGGCATATCGTACAGAACACACATGCCCTTTTTCTCAATAAGCAACTTTCTCTTTCATCACAGTAGCTTGTTTTCATACTTTCAGGGATGATACTATGTTTACTAAGGGCTGCTGCTAATACTATGTTTATTAAGACACTACATAATTAACTAAGCTTAATCGTAATTATGCCATCTACTGATCACTCATCCATTTAAGTGGACATCACACTTTCTTTCTTGTGGGACAACTGTACTTATTTTATCCTTTTACTTGATATCACTAACCACATCATGATCTGATAAGCTAAGAATCTTATATGGAAAAAATGAGGAACACCACCAACATTATTAGATATTATTCTAGGAATAAATGTCTGTCACTCATCTTCTCTCCTACTGAGATGTACAAATTAAATCTGGATTTTTACCTGCACCCCATCTCTAAGCTGGATGTTTGAGTTGATTTCTCTAACAGACAAGTCTGCCCTAATTCCTCAAGCTTAATTTGGAACTAAGAGTGAAAAATTGAAAATATTGTAACACAGTAACAAATGTTCTCAAATAGCAGATTTCTCATTCTGATCTTAAGGCAAACAGTGCAAAATAGAAGATTTCAGGCAAAAAAAAAAAAAAAAAAAAAAAAATACTTTTTTTCAAAACCTCACCAACAAAGAAAACTTCAATTTTTTAAATCTCAAGGTTAGATATACTTCTACCTGCTATTTGGTTTCAACCCCCACATCCCCAGGTTACTATATCAGTGTAACTTTAGAGAGAGAAATATGCCTAAGTTTGCTAAATGCTCTGGTGGACCCACTGTGATGGCCTACCATTTTCCCAATGAATGATACATAGATGTTTCTATTCATATTTAAATACTGCTCTTTGAGGCACAAATGTTTTCAGCCTTCCCTGATCTACGTATCAAAATACTGCTTCAATGGGCAATATATGACCCCTTTGCTAGTGTGTCTCTACAATTTCATTACTGCTTGGTCTTTATGAAGCTCTAAAAAAAGTATCTATCAAGCATCTTTTTCAACGATTCTGAACAAAGGGCATTATTCATTAGCACCTCATCCACTTAGCCCCTATCCTAAAATATTCCCAGCAATTTCAACCACTTCTCTACCCTAATCTACCTTCTGGGTTTGCAAAAGTATACCCACACATATTATTACCAGTTCTGGTCATTGTTACATTCACAACCTCTGCTTCAATTTTTTTTTAAATTATTTAATGTTGAGCACTCTGATTATTTCATACTTCCTTTACCAAGGAAGAAAAAGTAGAACAAAAGAGAAAATTTAATCAGTACAAATCATTATAACCTTATCTTCCCTTCTTAGTAATGAAATATTCAGTTATAATGAGAAACATTACTCTATGTCAATAAGCGAATGTTTCTTGTTACCAGAATAACAGAATATCTTTTAATACCTCCAAAATGAAATTGCTCTCATTTAACCAACACTGGCTGATGCTCAACTACTGGAGAGCATCACACTGCGCCTTCTTCACCTCACGTTTTCAACTGACGAAGTGGAACAACTACATTGAATCAATATCTGCATCTACTGCAAGGAAAGTTGGGTCACTGCCAGGTTTTCTTCATCAGAGTCCATCTTGCACATTTACAAATCTACCCTTCAACCGTACATTGAATACTGTTGCTATATCTGGTCTGGTGCTCCAGCTATTCATCTTGAGGTTCTTGACAAAATGCAAAGAAGAATCTGCAATGTAATCGATCATTTCTACAAATATTTTCATGGCAACTGCTCTGAGCAGCCTTTTTCCCTGGTTCCCCGGCTACATGAATTTAAGTATACTACTAGATTGGCATGTATGCCCACCATTTTACTGTTGAAATAACTAAATGAAACTGCCACTTCTACCCCAACAGTTTCTTTTCTTGTACTTCCCGTCTGTGAAACTCCCTTCCGTTTACTTGCTTCCCTGAAAACTACAATCTTCAAAAATTTGAATGCAATGTCAATCGCCATCTTCTGTTGTCTTGAATCCTGTTCATCTTTTATCCTTTCCTCAATCCCCCTATACCCGGTCTTTTCTCTCACTTTCACTCTAACCCTACTGCATAGAGGTATTTAAAAAATCTCATTAAGTAGGGGAGATCAGACTGCTATTACTTTTTATTTTAATTGTTTTTTTTTTTATTTTAACATTTTTCTTTTTTTTCACTTTTAATGATTAAAAAAGCAGAATTCTTTCTTACGTGCTACAATATAGTTCAATGAATGTATAAAAAATACAATATTCATTCAAAAAAGTAAAAAAGCAAGTAAATAGTAACTGTAAAAAAAAACAATGCAAATTGCAAAAATCTGATTGCCGTCATTTTTATAGTTGTTAAATAACAGATACGAATCATAAATCAGCAATGAATATTATCTTGATCATGCAATCTGAAAAAAAGTAGAATAGAAAAAAAAATAGACTTTGTCTTTAATTAAGAATTTTGTGTAAAATTAAAAAAAAAACGATGTAGTTTTTGTTTGTAGCTAGTCCTGGAAAGACGTGTTAAAAACCCGAACAAAAAGAGGGTTACGTACAAATAATAAAAAGAAAGAATTCTCGCTGAAAAGTAGATAGTGATTGACAAATTATTTGGCATATCCCTAGGAAAAATAAATTTGAATTAAGAAAATGTACTCACTATTTAGGCTTAAGTAAGAAACTATCCGTTCTCGTTAAAACATGCCGTACCGCGTATAATGCAGCCATTTTACTAGGGGAATTAACTCCGAATTCCTTTATTTTAAAAACATCAGCCAAGGAATTATCAAGGTGACTCACGAAGATGACCTCGTGGTTAAGATAGTTGCGTATTACCCCCGACGTCAAAAGTCGGTATCGAGCCGAAGTAAAGATAAAAGATTTCGTATGTTTATTTTCAAAGCAGGAGGAGTTTTTGGTAGATAGGCGCAGTACAATTTTTCTAACTGTATTTCAGTATTTCACTCATTTGGCCTGATGCATAGTCAAGTGAATTTTTTTTTATGCCGTAAAATTAAAAATTGCAATTTACTTATATTTTTAACAAATTTTTTTAACGTAAGGCTGACAAACACACTATGTCAGTTGATTTTTGTGGGTGTACAGTCTTAGTATTTGAAATGTTTGTAAGGAGACTGATTGATTTTTTTGGTTTTTGGGGGGTTACGACTTATCAACCTTTTGCAGGTTATTTAAAGCCAGAAAATATTTTATATTGCAATAATTTTTGGAGAACGATTTAAGTCCTACTAATTAATCTATAGCTGGGGAGTAGAAGAGATAGATTTGTTGTGGATGTGTGTGATGATTGTGTGTTGGAAAGGAATAGAATGTTTGAATTATCAGAAGGCTTGTGTGTGTTCAATAATCTTCCATCCACAACAATTAATAAAGATTCATAAACGTCTTGTTTCAAAACGTAACAATTGAATTTATTAATATTTGATATACATGCATGAATACTGAGTGATAAGGTTAGACAGAGTTGTATCTCTTAGATTAGGTAATATTTGTACCTAAGTTCATAAAGTGATAGTAATTATTAAACTGTAGTTTAGAAGTATTAAGTTTCTTTAGCATGTTTGGAATTGTGTATTGTACAAGTTGGTAAAAGTTCAGAAGAGATTTCAGAGTTCGTACTTGCGTGAATGTTGGTAATGGTCTTTAACATCTGACCGCAAAGGCTAAGACGGGAGTTCTTGAAAGTTACATCTTGGCACTTGGTAGCAAGGAATGAGACGCAAGAGAGAGAGAGAGATGAAAAGAAACATGAGGGAGTTATACATGTTCTGTTTTTATAAGGTCGTATATCACGTGAGAGGCTCCGAGCATATTGAGCGGAAAACAGATTTGTCGCGTGCAGGCAGTTTGATTGGTCAGAACTGACCAATCAGCAAGCTAGATTGAAGGTGATTAACCAATGAATGCTTGTTATATATTTTGTAAGATTGTGATGGTGAAAATTACAACAGGAATAGCGCACTTCCTAGCAGGGGTTAACTGGCTTGTTGTGGAAGATTCCGCAGATTCATACCTTTCCCAAGAGTATTTACGCATAAATGAATATAACAAATCCAACTGGAATTGGAACTCAGCTCTCCAATTTCCAATTCTAAGCTATTATCTATATAAAACTTCCCCACAATTTAAGCTACAAGTCAGTTACTCTAAATTAATATATAGATGTCTATGGGGTTTTCTGTCTGTGTAAACTGCTTGTTGATTCTTATAATGATAATCATAATTATTATAATTATGATTGTTATAATATTATTGTAATAATAACATTTTATTATAATCTATATAATATTTTCATCCTATAATTAATTTTTATTTATGTATTTCATTATGGAGACAACAAATTCAACAAAATGCCTGGTCACCTACAAATCTACACTAAGTGACTCCCTTACCTTAAAGGGGACAGTGAAGTTACGAGACCTCAAAAAACTTCCCCACAATTTAAACTACAAACCAGTTACTCTAAATTGATATATTTGTAGTTCCTTTTTCCTTGTGAATAATGATATATACTAAATGTACGAACATTTTTAATATCATTCACATGTCCATTTCTAGAAATACTTTTGGCTTATGACCATAACACATTGAAATACAGGTTCTTGTACAATCACCAAAATTAAGCAACATCAAGCCTGATCATTACTTAGGTGGGTGATTATCTAAGCTTTTTATATCTTATCTTGTTCTGTTATGTCTGCAAATTTCAATCTTCAATTAGATTTTATTTTTGGTGGCTTCTTTTGCTGTATTTTGATCCACTTTTTGTATGGTTTTTGATTGTTGTAAAGTGCTAAACTTTCCTGTCAGTATACACACTGTTAGTTTCATATCACTTGGTATCTCTCTACAGCATAAAACTGCTAGCTCAATATGATTGGCAACAAGGTGACTGGTAAATATGGTGAGATGACACAGTCAGGACAATGAACAAATAGGCTTGTTAAAGCCTTGTTTTCAGTCTAATAAGTTATAGTTCTACAATAATGTGGAGTTTTTCTTTCTATGCTTATTTCATTGATATGACTCTTATATCTTTACACACTTGCCATTTTAATTATCAAATTTTGAATATTACTACATGTTAAAATATGAACAAAGTAGCCAACTAGTTACAGGTATATCATATAAATAATGTTGCCAACTCTATCAAGTTATAATAAAGGAAACTATATATATATAAATATTTTTTAATTTAATTCCTGTAAATATAAATTATAATTGTAAATGACATTATTTTCAAGAAGGTGAGGGAGTTGAAAATTTGACATTGTAAAAGAAAAAGAAAAAACAAAGAAGAAAGCAGATAAAGTATAAATACAAGATCTTGTAAAAGTGGCTTTACTGTAAAAAAAGTAGAAGTCACAAAACAACAAATTTATGATCTACAAGGTTCAATAACTTACACATTCCAGGGTGGCATATAACAGTCATGGGAGACTGAGATTTCATTCAGGGTAGTAGTTGAGACAGACACATGGAGAAAATCAACAGTCATATGTAATTGAGTTTTGTGATGTCAATGAACACTCGTTACCACTTTTGTAATGCCAACGAATACTTGTTGTCACTTTTGTAATGCTCATTGTAGTAGAGACTTTGTAATCGCAGTTACAATTATAGTAATGTTATTGAACAATGCTAGTGTCAGACGCCTTCGAATATCACTCACACTAATAGTACTTGCTTGATAATACCCACTTGACAAGTAACCCATATAGTGATCTGAATAGAGAAATAGTATAGTGAATAGAGTAGAGAATAGCAGTCCATATAGTAATAGAGGATAGACTAGAAGTAGCAATCATTAGTCATCAGCTACTTCCTACATATATCTGTTTCCTCTATGGCCACATGGTCTACTTAATTCAATAATGGAATTGCCTGTGTTTGTTCACTGGCGATCTATGTTCAAACTCAAGTGTCAGCAGCGACACTTTATTCCTATATAACATTGAGTGAGATAGATTCATGGGCAAAATATTCCATAAATTAATGCATTGTAGTAGACAGAGTTAATCACTGCTGTTGCCACTGTTTTCAGGGCTGGCTAAAGGCATTTCTCTTAATGGAAATATTTCAGTTTCACTGCTGAGGGCCTGGATAAGCTTGCCTGCTGCAGGGATCCATCACTAATGTCAGCCTGTTTAGATCTGCCTACTTTGGTGAAATCAGCATTGGCTTCATAGTGAGTCAGTGGCTCAGAAATGGCTGTTGTGAAAACTGTGTAGACCTTTGTCTGATTGGTCAGAAAATAAGTTTTATAACACTTCTATTCCAGAAGTGGGTGTGAAGAACTGAATCAAATTAAGGCCTGTTTTTGTCATATGAACTGTGGATGTTGAAGTGAGCACTGCCATTTGAGTTAAAGAATTGGAGTTCCAACAGAGTATGATAATCTTATAATCAAGAAAATGTCCAGGTGATTTTACGAAAAATACTTTTTATAGCCCAGTTTCTTTTTATGAAGAGTTTCCATATGACAGGAAATAGGCTAGATACAGGAAGATTTTTAATGACTCCTCTTACTACTTTGACTCAGACGTTTACTCAGAATGTTATTTGGACTGCCTACCTGATACATTATCTTTTATTTGTATGTGGCATGTAGATGTAGTATTAAACACAAGAATACATATGAATACTTAGCAGTAAAATGTTCGCTTTTATTCTAAAGTATATGACTTAAAGAGTTTAAAAATTCTAATAACTTTATAATTATACATGCTTAAAAGCTGAAACTTTGCAGCCTAATAATTTGTTATATGCTTTTGTTATGGTCCAGAATGATAAGGATATTTCATAATTCTAAAAATAACCCTGCCATCAGTGATGATAAAAAAATAAGAATATTTAATCATTCTAACTCTCATCATTATAAAAACGACCCTTCCACCACAAGAGAGTCAGTAGAGTAGAGTAGAGTAGAGAACAGTATGTAGACTAGGGTACCCTATAGCAGTTGACTAGTAGACAAGTAATCAGTCAAAATACATATTTGCCAACATTTCAGAAGATCAAAAACAGATGATTTCAAACGCCGTCCTCACAACCAAAATTCTTGGAACCAAACCAAATAAGCACTGACTTTTAAACAAAGATACACTGAGAACATTTTGCACAGACCATACCAATATTCTGTAATTCCCATCACAAAAAGAAAAAACAAATCTTCCTATTTATGTCAACACGTGTCTCAAGTTTTTATTGTTGATGTTATTGTTGTACCTTTTAATTCATTTTGTTTTCAATATAAAAAAAGAGAAAAGGATTCCTCATACACTACAAATACATATAACAATGGGGTAATTACTTTAACAACACTCAAATAATATCAAGATTACTACCTTACATCAACCCTAACTTACCCACCCTGTCACACTTTAAATGTTGAGTAAATTTAATTTTTCTCCATAAATTATAAGTTAATTAAATTTTATTTTAAGTTGGTATCCACTCAGTAGGGATATTGTATCATTAATAATTTTCAATAAAAAGAGGATTTCATTTTGTCTGAAACCAATTAATTAATAGAATATGTTTTAACAATATATCCACTATAATTTGAATCTAATTTCTTCATTTACCAAATCTTAGTTTATATAGATTTTTAAAGTCTTTCTTCACAAACACTAGTTTTTTTAACCTTCCAAAAGGATAAGGACAGCAAGAGATAAATAAAGGAAAAGGAATGTCTTTTCCAATAT